CGCTGGGGGATAGTTGTAGCAATAGCCAACAATAAATCTTTTGGGTCAAAATTATACATTTCTCTTTTATGCCAAAAATCATTAGGATATTAAGTAAAGATCATGTTCCATGAAGATATTTTGTAAATTTCCTACAGTAAACTTAATGTTTGATTAGTAATATGCATTGCTAAGAACTTCATTTGGACAACTTTAAAGATGATTTTCTCAATATTTAGATTTTTTTGCACCCTCAGATTCCAGATTTTCAAATAGTTGTATCTCGTCCAAATATTGTCCTATCCTAACAAACCATACATCAATGGAAAGATTATTTATTCAACTTTCAGATGATGCATAACTCTCAACTTCATAAAATTGACCCTTATGACTGGTTTTGTGCTCCAGAGTCACATATTACAGTATATGTGATATTATGCATTGACACAACATTATATATTTCATACCTTTTATAGCCTACTCTACATAGATTGCAACATATATAAAAGGATAACTAAAATGAAGGAAAAAAATGACCATAACCATTATTTATTTTTATTTAAATTTTTTTTCATCTAAATTATATTTCTTTTTTTAAATTTAAACAGGGTTTCATGTCTTACTATGCATCTCAATTCATTTAATTTCCTTAAAAATATAAATATATAGTTTGTAATCTCTCCGTCCCCGTAATAGCGTTTTACAGTTCTGTTTTTAACCCAATGAAGACGTCAAAATGCAGAAGGAACAAGGGTAAATATACCAGTCTAACATTTTCTTTTAAAGTGTACCGGGTACGAGGCGATCATGTGTCCGTGTATGTATTTGACATCGTATGACTGAAGAAAATCCCTGTGCAAATGTCCAGCATCCCTCGATTCCATAGCCAGCGCTGGCGGCTTTCTTTACAGGTGCGGTCCAGTGTTTGAAATGCGTTTTAGTTCACTCTTGTACTAGAGTAAACACGAGTGTGCTATGTCCTCTTTTTACTGTCGTACCACGTCACTATTCAAACTCTCTGAAGGGAGGTCACAGAGGTACAGAAACCATAGCAAACAGTCATGCTTTACAGCAACAAACCCAGCGAGGAAGTTAAGCATCCTCTTCTCTAACAAGCCATGTGTACAGACAGACAAGACGCCTAATGATTTGGTGCAGATTCAGTTAAGTACACGCATCAGCGCAGACGCTTGAAATGACAGACAGTCAACACATTCAGCATTCTCATCCGTATCGAATATCAAGCATGTTACAGTGAATCAGCTCGCCACACCTGAATGTGCAGCCAGTTTTTAAACGCTCTCTGGCAGCTCTCTTCACTCCTGTCGGTCTGCGGACGATTTCCCAGAAAACATTTCCATGTCACTCAGCGTGGCTAATTGGTGTCAAGCAGCGATCGTGTCCACAGGCGGTCCTGGTGCCTCCATAAGCACCCGACATACAGCGAGTGATGGTGTACGTGCAGATGAGTGTTTGATAACAGATAAGTACCAACTCAGACTCAGATTCTTCTCCATAAGGATGGCGTAAGATAGACACGAATGAGGGTGTCGCTGACAGACAGTAAGACTATAGCACTATGAAGTGAATGTGGGTAGCAGCTCAGATCATCTCTTCTGGTCTAGTGGAAGAGTTTGATTTCTGTTTGCAGTGTGCATTCGCAGCACCACAAGGTATTGCAAAAACAGCGACTGTTTCCAAACAGGTATCCACTAAAGCACAGGTAGTCGCATCCAAACTAAAGAAGTTTTAAGAATATTAGAGAGGTTAGAAAAGTAGTTGTGCAAATAAATATAAATGACCATATGACCAGTATACATGAAAATATTTATTATTTCAAATTTAACTAAAAATAATTGGTCATATGTGTCCACCAAACACTTTTAGCCAGCTGAAAGCAGCAGGCGCTCTGCTGAAATCGCCTGGCTGTGAGCGCTTGAGAGTGCTTAATATTCAATCTAAAAATGAAATAGGCCTATATCTGCAAGTTTTCATGACAATATTGTGGTAGTCCAGGAATTTTATTTAGTGAAGACATGAATACTCTGAGACATGCAATATTAACTTGTCCTTCATTGTTGTTCACTCGTAGTATAAGCACTGACGATTGGTCGGTGTGGAATTTGCCCCCGCCCCTGCTCCACTGTGAGGTAGAAAGTGACTGTGATGAGCGTTTGTGTTTTACCCAAAGATGAACTTTCCTCCGCTCTTGGCACTGAGAAAAAAACGGCTCAGCGCCCAGCGTGAAATAAACACTCAGTGCCTCGTCACGCTGCTGGTGTTTTAAAAACATGGCGCTCCCATTGAAAACAATTGAAAAAATACGCTAGCCTCGGGGAAAAAACGCTTTGGTGGACACATGGCCTAAATTTGGTTACATTACATGTGTCGTCTTCTGTAAGCTGTAAACTTGACATTAGCATTGTAACTGTCGCAAACAACTGCACACCTGGAACTGATTATACTTCATAAAAATACTGGAGCATTACCTCATTTTCACCTTGTTTATTTTAGCCAAACTTCAAGCAGAACTGAAATTATGCATTGACTCGTGGGTACATTTCCCTTTACGTTTCCTGTGAAGTGATGTTCACTTGTATGTCAGTGGCAGTGGCCTTCATAGTGGACATAGACACTCGTTGCAATTTGATTGGAATTTTAAGGCACCAGCTGAATGAAAACTCAAATTCTTTCTCTGACAGTAGGTGGCGCTTATGAAACGGCAGAAATACAGGAGTAGAACTGCCCTCCGCAACTTTTCGGTACAGTCAAGACGTTTTTTAGAGGAACACAAAAGGTGATGTCTAGTAGAATGTTCACTCTGCTCTTGTGTAGAGGGGAAACATTTCAGTGAATGTTGTATTTTTTAGTTTGTTTCTTAAAGTTCTATCATGACAACTCTCGGAAGATTTTAGCATGGTGATGGATATGACAATGTTAATTTATTTGGTCTTGGTGGAATAGATCTGCTACACTGCTGCTGCTGCTGGATATTGTAGATTATTGCAGCTGCTGATGCAAGCAAGTACAGGAACTTGCTACTAACAATACATAAGCCGATACGGTGCTGTGAGTATTTAAGACATACTGCTGCTGCACAAATAGCATATGTAATAACCCGTAGCAGATCTATACAGGTGGAGTTGGGGAAGGTGGAGGGTTTCAGAGGAACTCTGAAAGTGCGCAGCAATGCTCAAGCGAATGCTAATCAGCCATTTAAATGTAGCAAGCTCATTGGCTGCAGATGCAACATGAACCAATCAGCATGTGAAAAGTCGTTTAATGCTAAGAATATCATCAGTTTGCATTAACGACCCATCAACCTGCGCCATCTAGAGTTTCATGACAGAAATTGGTATTTATTGTTTGACTTCAGAAGACGTTGAAAACACTGCATGAGTCTTATGGACTACTTTCATAATACTTCTATGGTGATGTTTTTGTAAATCTACTCATTTTGTGGAAAAAAGAAAGTCATGTAGGTTTGGAACCGTATAAAGATGAGTAAATGATTTTTGGTTGAACTCCCGTAATAAAGCGTAGAAAACTTCTTGTCCTCGGCGGTTTTGCCTGGTCTTGCGTTAGTGTGGGATGAGGTTTGCTGATTGAACGGCTCAGTTCTGGCTGAAGCCGTCTCAGCGGTTCTCGCTGGAGGTCTGTTGACCTTCTTTACGAGATCAGTGTTTCGTCAGCAGTGACGTGACGGCAACGCTGACCTCATGCTGCTGGCTACAGAAGGACTTTTTGCTCTCTACTGCCAGATTGGGAGCTCAGGGCTTTATTTTAGGAAATCTTCTAGAAATAGACTCTGGCTTGAGCTGCGAGTTACTCCCCAGATCCCTGAATGACATGCGCTGGAGGCGAGAGACCCCGCTTCTGTCCAGAGTACAGTTCTTCTCTCTCCGTCTGAGCTTTCCTGCTGTTTGTTGTCAGTTAGCATGTGTTTCAGTGGTCAGTAGGCATGTGGTGTTAATGGTGGTGTTCTGGTTGAGCCATTACAGTGTGTGTGACTGCACAGTTTTTGGGAAGCTGTTGCAGACGCTGATCTGGTGGGTTATATAACCCTAATAAAGTCTTAGGCCAAATATATGCTGTAGTTCACAAACACAGTAGAATGTGAGCACACTCCCATTGTACATACATAACATTAAGATTTATAATCGTTAAGTTTATTCATCCGGGAATATCCACATGTATAGGCGTCCTAGTTACACCTCTGATGGTAAATTTTCCAACGACTTAAATGTCATTTGAAGTTGCATGAGTCAGAAGGTTGCCTTCTCAGATGATTTGTTCATTTTTGATGTGAAATGCCTGTGTCATTTACATTTGAGTTTAAACCCTGTCCTTTACTGGCCACTGTCTGGTAACTTTACAAAGTATTCACATTTTCCAAATGATGGGTGTTTATTTTGAATCCTATATGCTGTTTGTGTTCTCAGTTGTTACAATCCAATTGTTTTAGCGGAAACATTTCAGTGAATGTTGTATTTTTTAGTTTGTTTCTTAAAGTTCTATCATGACAACTCTCGGAAGATTTTAGCATGGTGATGGATATGACAATGTTAATTTATTTGGTCTTGGTGGAATAGATCTGCTACACTGCTGCTGCTGCTGGTTATTGTAGATTATTGCAGCTGCTGATGCAAGCAAGTACAGGAACTTGCTACTAACAATACATGTCATTTACATTTGAGTTTAAACCCTGTCCTTTACTGGCCACTGTCTGGTAACTTTACAAAGTATTCACATTTTCCAAATGATGGGTGTTTATTTTGAATCCTATATGCTGTTTGTGTTCTCAGTTGTTACAATCCAATTGTTTTAGCCCCATTATCGCATGCTGACATGATGTCTGTCATCAGCCTTCCTGATTTCTCGTTTCCTTATTGGTATCGATCATAAAAAATATCCACTGTTTGACCGCTGCTCGGTTAAATTCAGTAAATATGTTACAGAGATTCTGTGTTGCCAATTAAAAGAGCTAACACTGTATTTCTCTTTCTTCTTTCCTTTTGAAGCTGGACTAGGTGCACACCAGGATGTCAGATGTGATGCTTCACACAGATTTTCATGGTGAGGATTTTTAATCTGGTTTCTGCAGCTTGTGTTGTTCGGTCAGGTTTTGGGGTTTTGTTATGTCTGTGTGAACACAGTGTGCTCCTCCAAACTCAGCCAGAAGAGACCAGCTCTTGCTGATTCCTTGGGGAGCCCTCAAGCCACATTAATGTCATTTTGTCATTATGGGTGTTGGGATCAGTAAACCGTGGGAGTGTGGTTCTGTTCATGTTGAAGAGCAGAGCTGTAGCTAGTCTCAAATGTTTGTGTGTAGTTTAGGCCTATTGAACAAAATCCACTGCTGCGTTTTTCATATGGCTGCCTTTTTTTTCAACCAGAGCACTATTAACCATTTAGCCTGATTCACAGTAGTTTATTAATGAGGTAATAAGACAGTTGTTGTTTTGTGTTTTGCAAGTAGTATTACTCATGGGAGATGATACAGTGTGATTTATGATTGGAAACACATTTAGGCGTGTCAAGTCTGAAGTTATACCAGATGAGGTGCTGTAATGCTTCTATAATTACTACGAGACTTAAATGCCCCGAAACACAGATGAAAGGAGCTTTATCAAACATCGTACCTTGTGCTAGCATAACTATTAGTAGGTCCTGTCACAATAACTAAATATCTGACATCTGATTATTTGGAATTGGTACATATATTTATATAGTATTAGCAAATCATTGCACTGCCATAATGTGATGTATACAACTCTCGGAAGATTTTAGCATGGTGATGGATATGACAATGTTAATTTATTTGGTCTTGGTGGAATAGATCTGCTACACTGCTGCTGCTGCTGGTTATTGTAGATTATTGCAGCTGCTGATGCAAGCAAGTACAGGAACTTGCTACTAACAATACATAAGCCGATACGGTGCTGTGAGTATTTAAGACATACTGCTGCTGCACAAATAGCATATGTAATAACCCGTAGCAGATCTATACAGGTGGAGTTGGGGAAGGTGGAGGGTTTCAGAGGAACTCTGAAAGTGCGCAGCAATGCTCAAGCGAATGCTAATCAGCCATTTAAATGTAGCAAGCTCATTGGCTGCAGATGCAACATGAACCAATCAGCATGTGAAAAGTCGTTTAATGCTAAGAATATCATCAGTTTGCATTAACGACCCATCAACCTGCGCCATCTAGAGTTTCATGACAGAAATTGGTATTTATTGTTTGACTTCAGAAGACGTTGAAAACACTGCATGAGTCTTATGGACTACTTTCATAATACTTCTATGGTGATGTTTTTGTAAATCTACTCATTTTGTGGAAAAAAGAAAGTCATGTAGGTTTGGAACCGTATAAAGATGAGTAAATGATTTTTGGTTGAACTCCCGTAATAAAGCGTAGAAAACTTCTTGTCCTCGGCGGTTTTGCCTGGTCTTGCGTTAGTGTGGGATGAGGTTTGCTGATTGAACGGCTCAGTTCTGGCTGAAGCCGTCTCAGCGGTTCTCGCTGGAGGTCTGTTGACCTTCTTTACGAGATCAGTGTTTCGTCAGCAGTGACGTGACGGCAACGCTGACCTCATGCTGCTGGCTACAGAAGGACTTTTTGCTCTCTACTGCCAGATTGGGAGCTCATAGCTTTATTTTAAGAAATCTTCTAGAAATAGACTCTGGCTTGAGCTGCGAGTTACTCCCCAGATCCCTGAATGACATGCGCTGGAGGCGAGAGACCCCGCTTCTGTCCAGAGTACAGTTCTTCTCTCTCCGTCTGAGCTTTCCTGCTGTTTGTTGTCAGTTAGCATGTGTTTCAGTGGTCAGTAGGCATGTGGTGTTAATGGTGGTGTTCTGGTTGAGCCATTACAGTGTGTGTGACTGCACAGTTTTTGGGAAGCTGTTGCAGACGCTGATCTGGTGGGTTATATAACCCTAATAAAGTCTTAGGCCAAAGATATGCTGTAGTTCACAAACACAGTAGAATGTGAGCACACTCCCATTGTACATACATAACATTAAGCTTTATAATCGTTAAGTTTATTCATCCGGGAATATCCACATGTATAGGCGTCCTAGTTACACCTCTGATGGTAAATTTTCCAACGACTTAAATGTCATTTGAAGTTGCATGAGTCAGAAGGTTGCCTTCTCAGATGATTTGTTCATTTTTGATGTGAAATGCCTGTGTCATTTACATTTGAGTTTAAACCCTGTCCTTTACTGGCCACTGTCTGGTAACTTTACAAAGTATTCACATTTTCCAAATGATGGGTGTTTATTTTGAATCCTATATGCTGTTTGTGTTCTCAGTTGTTACAATCCAATTGTTTTAGCCCCATTATCGCATGCTGACATGATGTCTGTCATCAGCCTTCCTGATTTCTCGTTTCCTTATTGGTATCGATCATAAAAAATATCCACTGTTTGACCGCTGCTCGGTTAAATTCAGTAAATATGTTACAGAGATTCTGTGTTGCCAATTAAAAGAGCTAACACTGTATTTCTCTTTCTTCTTTCCTTTTGAAGCTGGACTAGGTGCACACCAGGATGTCAGATGTGATGCTTCACACAGATTTTCATGGTGAGGATTTTTAATCTGGTTTCTGCAGCTTGTGTTGTTCGGTCAGGTTTTGGGGTTTTGTTATGTCTGTGTGAACACAGTGTGCTCCTCCAAACTCAGCCAGAAGAGACCAGCTCTTGCTGATTCCTTGGGGAGCCCTCAAGCCACATTAATGTCATTTTGTCATTATGGGTGTTGGGATCAGTAAACCGTGGGAGTGTGGTTCTGTTCATGTTGAAGAGCAGAGCTGTAGCTAGTCTCAAATGTTTGTGTGTAGTTTAGGCCTATTGAACAAAATCCACTGCTGCGTTTTTCATATGGCTGCCTTTTTTTTCAACCAGAGCACTATTAACCATTTAGCCTGATTCACAGTAGTTTATTAATGAGGTAATAAGACAGTTGTTGTTTTGTGTTTTGCAAGTAGTATTACTCATGGGAGATGATACAGTGTGATTTATGATTGGAAACACATTTAGGCGTGTCAAGTCTGAAGTTATACCAGATGAGGTGCTGTAATGCTTCTATAATTACTACGAGACTTAAATGCCCCGAAACACAGATGAAAGGAGCTTTATCAAACATCGTACCTTGTGCTAGCATAACTATTAGTAGGTCCTGTCACAATAACTAAATATCTGACATCTGATTATTTGGAATTGGTACATATATTTATATAGTATTAGCAAATCATTGCACTGCCATAATGTGATGTATTTTTGAGTGAAGCAAGAAAATCTATGGTGAGAAACATTATAAAAGTATGGGCACAGCAGCTTATTTCCCATCAGTACTCATGCCAACCTCTCACAGATCTCACACAATAACTGCTTTAAGCTTTAAAAGAAAAAGGATAATTTGAAAGATTATTTTGGTGCTTTGCCGATGTGATGTATTTTTGAGTGAAGCAAGAAAATCTATGGTGAGAAACATTATAAAAGCATGGGCACAGCAGCTTATTTCCCATCAGTACTCATGCCAACCTCTCACAGATCTCACACAATAACTGCTTTAAGCTTTAAAAGAAAAAGGATAATTTGAAAGATTATTTTGGTGCTTTGCCAACTGGCTTTGAGAGAGGAGATCAGGAATGATCACGTCTAGTGACCAGACACACCAACTACATGTGTGAATTAAGAAACCGCATCACTGAAATGGATTCATTTCATGTTTTTACCTCTGCTGAAACATCTTTCTAATCAGCATTTCTGTTGGTTTCTATTCTTAGTCACCAAAAGTCTCCGCTTGCTTATCTTTGATGTACTTGTGCAACCAGGGTGATTAGTTATAAGTAAAATGCGAATGCATTACTGTTTTACATAGGAGAAGTACAGTATTATTTTGATATAATCTTGTGTGTGTAGAGCGGACGTGTGTGTCTCGCAGTTTGCCGCATGATTGTTGGGTGGTCGTCCCGGGCCGGCGAGACTGTAATCCTCCAGCACATGCATCATAGTCCAGTTCTGCTTAACCACCATGCAGTCACACCTCAACTAGCTTCCAGCTATCTACACCAGTGCTCTGACACATGATGAATGTAGCATTGTAAAGTCAGACTCTCGTTACTCATGCATGCTTCATTATGGATAGGGTTTCACATCAGTAACAAGCTTTACACCCAACTCAACTCGACGCTCATCTAACGCTGGTCTGTGTTCACCGTGAATTGACCCCTCACTAATGGTCATATATGTTCTCCAGGAGGCTTCCTGTTGGCCATTGTTTATATGAGGCTGTAGATTAAAGCTAGCAACGATCAGAACTTCAACCATGCAATTAAGATGATGATGATGAAGCACTATGTCGCTCTCCGACTCGGTCCGTCCCTTTAATCTAGGACCGCAGATGCTCTCGCCCACCCGCCGGCCTCTGCCACTCAACAATAAATAAAAGATAAGACAGTGCCATCGGGACTGTTTGGAATAATAGCATTCAATTTCGAGAGAAGTGCCTCAACAAATGCATGCTAGAAGAATAGAAAAGCAGGAGATGAAAGGAGATATGAATGGAACTCTGGCTACAGGCATGCTCGCCAAACAAATAGACTTCCCGAGAGCGCCAATCACAAGCTCTCACCCTGATTCCTGACCCACGGAGGACAGGCCAGAGGAACGCAATTTGTTCCTTTGTACGGCAGGATCATAAGAGCGACCGCAACTTACTTTCTTTCACTGTTGCTGAGTGCAATTGAGTTCTGCGAGCAGGTGGTCCAGGCCTGCTGCGACCTTGTCAACTTTTGCTCTTTTGTTCACTGCAAAGGTTGGCTGAGGTTTTGGCAGTCGGCTCTGGCGTGTGGGGCTTTCATGAAGCTGAGGATTAAGAAGGACAGATAGAGGAGGAGGAGGTACAGACAGTCAGCTTGCATTAAAACAACTCCTCATAGCCGATGGCTCCAGTCTCTTGGCCTCTCCACACGTGGCCTTTGTCTGCACCTAGACTTCCACGGGAACGAGTTGCGCTCAAAGCTCAGCTGGTCGGGTATTGTCCCTCCTCAAAGACGGCCATAAGGGCAAC